ACACACATCCACATCATCACGACAAGGCGCGCGGTAAGCATACAGTACCCAAATTCGTTTAATAAATAAACAAAAAACACTAAAAGCTACTTGTAAAATATTTGTTGTAAGACAACTCTACTCTCTCAAATTTGGTACCACAAAACATTAAATGTATTTTCGTAGCACGTCTTATTTTTACCCTAGAATTTCTTACATTTTAGACATCCCAAAAAGGAGAAAAATGGCTCACAAGACTGAAGGAAGGTATTGCTAAAGATTCGGTGGATAAGTCAATAAAAGTTGGTCAATGATTGTTATTTCTATGACTGGTCTATAGCTTAAAGTAAAAAATTCGGAGTGAAAGGCTAGTAGGATCGAATATCCTTAGCCGAGGTGCCAAATGCTTAACTCAAGTAAGAGTTTATTGATTTTGATTGAGACCAAACAAAAGCAAACGCATTGTGTCTCTGGGAATTCTGACTGAGTCAGAATCCCATAAATTACGATGAAGATATGGACACATTCAAACTCATACTGTGAGACTGGCCATGGTATAAGAGCAAGACATTGAACACTCTTGTTAGTTTTTGTCTCCTTCTTTGGGGTGGGCTTCCCCGTTAACTTTTAATATACTTTTGAAATTTATCTTTGTGGGTCATTCAAAAAAGAGCAGTCTGAAGTGAATGACAGCGTAGATATATGGAAGGCTTTCCCATTCCCTGGGCCCAGTTGACTTTCGCAGAGACCCTTAGGACTGTTTCTAGGTACATGAAAAGCAATAAGGAACGGACCAATAGAAAAGTTATGGGGGGAGGGAGGGGAATTCTCGAGCCACAGGAATTTTTTTCGTTATCAAATTCCTTGTATAAATTTTTTTTAGGTAATAACATGAATTTTTTTTAGGATTAATTGGCGTGCAAGAATTTTCTTTCATATGATTTTCCCTTGCGCGAATATTTTTTTTTTACTTCGCCCCCCTCCCCATAAGTTTTCTAATGGTCCGTCCCTAAGCCACTAGGGGTTTATGAGCGACGCACGCCAACCGGCAGTGAAGCCTCCTCCCTGAATATGCCTTGACGCTAACAAATTTGTATTGTTAAGTTTCTTCAGCCTTATAACGACGATTTGCCCGAAGAGAGTAAGCTTAGATTTTCTCCACCAAAAATTGCACGTGGCTGCGAGAACATGCATGCGAGATGCATCGAGCTACGCAGAATTGCGACCTGACAGAAGCGTCCGTCATCAGATGACGGAACCAACCAACAGTAAAGTAATATAATAAGCGTATACAGAGAAGTTCTCGGATATTTCGTTTCTACACCGGTCAGAAGGCCAGGAGAGATAAATATGGTTATCTGATCATAACCTTTGAAGTTCTGTAAATGTTATCGTATTCGAATCGTATGCTAATTATAAGTAAAGATTTAACAACTAAAACTCTAAAAAGGCGGGGTATTTGCAAAAAAAAAAAAGAACTTTCCAGTTGACTTTCATGAAACGTTAGTATCCCTCGGTTTACGTAAATCAAATTTGATGATAAAAATATAATGTTCAGCCTCACTCTTAACTCTTGAATTGGTAGGTAGGGGGTTAAGGCTGCTTGCAGTTTACTGAGTTCAGACCACTCGACATAATATAATGTATTTCTAGCAAGCAGGGTAACATTTGTCATCACTTAATAGCGCTCTTATTTTCTGTAAGTGTTTGTTGTTCATTCTCACGACCCCCAAATGAAATAAAGGTTTAACCTCTCAAAGCTCTTAGAAGAGGTATGTGCAAAAATAGAAAAAAAACTATCCCAGTTGACTTCCTTGAAAGGTAAGAATCCGTCAGTCTAAGTAAATCGATTTTGATGCGTCGCTCCAGAACGGACATTTCTTACTAAAAAGGCGACTTTCTTAGAGGAAATTCAGGGTTCAGTTACAGTTAAACTTCTATAAACGGGCACCTCAAAAGGACGGACACGTCTCAAAATTGGACACCTAGACTTGTTCGGCGCTACCTTTCTTCGGTCCTTGTCTTTGACTCTGCACACGTCCCTTAGATAAAGATTATAGGCACTAAGAAATTGCACGGTAGTATTAAGAAGCATGGAAGTTGCAGTTGTAATAATAGGAAAAAAAATAAACAAACAAACAATGAAATAACCGAAGGGGAAAGAGGACCAGTGCGGGTGGTTAATGTACCCTCCTTCTTTTGAGGGAAATGAACAGAATCGCTCTCAGTCGATCTCTCGATGTTTTCTCCGTCAAAGAGAGCACGAACAGGTATTCACTGCATGCATGATTTCTTTGCTGTGGCGGTTCCACTTTATCCTTCAATTACTCTCTACAATCATCTTCGAGGAGTCTTACTCTAAAGACCAGTCCCTAATGATACTTAACCACTTCCATTCAAGAGAACGAAAGTGTCATTTTGAAAAGTTTCTACCTCAATCGGGCAGCTGGGCAACCTGAGTTGTCAGATAAAAACACTGGCATTTCTGCTAGGGGGGTGTGACCTCGGTAACCGCGCGTTCATTTTCAGCCGGTTCTGACTGGGAATGTACAAGTAGGCCTCAACATCTGCTGACGAAACACGTAGAAGTGGTTCCTAAACATCTGCGTCTGTTGAAATGAGGCCTGATCACGTCTCTCCTTTAAAGTGAAGATGTATTACCACCTGTAAGAATTTTGGTTTTTTTTCCATCCATTTTCACCTCGTTAGTCACCAAGAGAGTATAAATGAAAGGATTCCTTTCATTTTAAACTGGCCTTCTGAAGATTGATCGAAACCACGGAGATATCATTTTGTCAACAGCATTCTTTTGCTCAGAATTTCAATTTCAATTTACTCAAAGAAAGAATACCAATTTAAAACTTGTAGAAAACAGAAAAGAAAACAAGGATCACTTTCATGTTTAGAACTGCAATAAACGTTTTCCAACTCTGTGGTAATGTTTAAGGTATAATCTGTTCTCAGGTTAAACCAGCAATCGTAAACACGAACACCATCGTTTGGTTCCTTCAACTTGTGTTTTTGCGTGTGTCGAACACGCCGAAAAGGTTTTTATTTTATTTGTTTAAGGGTGGCTTTCTCCTTACCATTTAAACAAGCGTCAATCATGTTCAGTGCGTTTGTGTTATTCACATGGAAAGTTTTTACCTATACTGACTTTTAATGTCAGGAAAAGCCTACTAAACAAGCGATAATTGTTATTTGAAAAGAGTGTTCACAGAGGCGGAGCTCTACGTAGGTGGACGTGAGGAATGATGTTCTGTCGGTCTCCGTTTAAGTAATATAAGCTCTAAACTCTAATGTCTCAAAATTGCACAATCTTAAATTTTACGTTGTAAAATACTGAACAAGGTTCCAAGTGAAAGTGCTGCGGAAGAACTACAGGTTCATTTGAATGGCCACATCATGTCATTTCACTCTTTGTCTACAGCCAATACGCCTACACTAGGAAATGTTTACATAGTTGTCTTTTGAGTGAAAGGGTAATTTATGAACGAAATGCGAAAGTTCGAAAGCAGTTTAATCTTTCCGGATCTTTTTGCTGAATTATTGAGTGACAGATAGTTTTAGGTAAACAGGTCTAATCAGCCCCCAAATTTGTTGTTGACCCATCATACTTTTTTAATAAGATAAAATTTTTTACCCTCTCCCAAGACAAAAGGCGTTAAATGTTTGAGTGCTGTGCCAAATCTGAGGCGACATCAGTCTGGTGAGGAAAACTCTTAAGTTTCTAATCGCATTATAGCGTAAAAGGGAATTAATTGTGGACTTGTAACACAAGTTTAGACTTCCGAAGAAATTTAATGATTCTTTACCTGTCCGTCGCAGGTGAAGGAAAGTGGGTAGGGTCGGGACGTAAAAAGATTTTTAGAACATGTCATGCAAAGGGGCGAGGAAACAAGGGAACTAGATCGACTAATCTGACGTTGTTAAAATTAAAAATAAATGGCAAAAGACTTCTCAATACAACAATAAATTTCGTCATAACTTTCTCACTGGTCGAGGTCTTCTTTTAAGAATGCTGTGCTATACAATGTGCTGAACATTAGTTACTTACTTATTAGTTAGGGACTTTTTAAGTGTGCAAATAATCCGAGCATCGATGATGCCTGGTACGTCTAATCCTCTTTACAATTTTTACAATTTCCACCGTTTCCTTCTTTGATGATTAATATGCGAGATATGCCAGTTTTTTTCTGATAATCTACGATAACAAAGTTATCTCACCTGAATGTACAGTATAGTGAATTATTTTTACAGTCAACAAATCACCTGCGGTATGGTATTGACGGATGCCATTGAATATTTAAACATTCTACCGCCTAAGTTTCACAGTGAACGTCCATCACCCTCGGATAGTCCACGACAACTGTATTGTGCGAATTACACATGTGTCATGTCTGATAGGCGTTCAAATGAGTATCACGTTTTTCTTTCTGTTGTCGTAACGCTCGCAGAATACTTTTGCTTTGAAAGTCGGTGGAATGATCGTACAGGTAGCCACGTACGATGTTGACACTTTTTTTTTTTCTATTAAAAGCTGTCTTATAATCACTTTTCCCTTTTTTTTTTTTTTTTTGAGTGGCCTACACATGTAAGAATAAGTTAAGAGTTGCGGTTCCAATCCTACGCTTTAACATCAAATTGTGTTAGTCCTTGGAAAGAAAGCTCTTAGTCTTACGCACAGGAAGAAACGACTTTGCACCTGGTCAACAATAAAAATGTAAGATATAGCAGCACAATATCTCAAAGGCAACTTCCTGTCAATTTGCTTGAAAGGCTTTGAAATACGTGATGAAGTACTCGTCTAACAGTGTAAAGGACATAAAGGATATGAATATTGGCTTGATTCCGAGCGAATACCGACAAAACTAAGAACATCCTTCAAAAGGCTGCAAATAATTTATTTTACACAAATTAAGAGACCGTGCAGTATTAAAGCTCTCTTTAGAACCTACTAATATCTGAAAAAGTTGTTCCATCCTCGATAGGTCCTTTAGTATTTTCTCTTATTTTTCTTATGATCTAATGTAAATGATATTTGATGTCTATTAGTTATCAGTAAACCAGAAATTACTGATAAACTTCGGCGCCGGAAAAATGCGCCAAGATTAATCCTCCTTTGCATGCGCCCCGCCCGTACATAAGCCTTTAATAATTGAGGTTCTATGTACAGTTTTGCTAACAAAAGACTAACAACTCCACTATAGAAAGCCTAAGATGTCTCAAGAAAACGTTTCTCTTACCAAAAAATTGTGGTTCAATTACATTCTGTTACAGATCTCCCTTCTGTCTCTTAATAATCCTCTCCGCATAAGGACATCATTAAAGGTGATAAAGAATTTAAATTTTGGTGATACATGCACAAGCAATTAAAGTCTCATGTTCTATAACGCACATACATTCCTGACTTAAAAACGTGCAAGCATTTCGTCCCAGCGAATAATAATGACCTTTTTATCGATCGTCGTCATATTAAATGCAATTATATTACAAACCTCTTAAATGGAGGTATTGAAGTTACCCTAGCTTCGAAACAGGCGCGCGCCAATACAGTACTTATATGGAGCTTGATGCCTTGCGAGTTATACTTATGGTTCTTGACCTTAATTTGAACCCATGTCTAATATTCTCAGTCGAAGCTCCGTTCCTTATCAACAGCTCTGCACACTCAAAATTCCCTGTTTCCACTGCTATATCCAATGGAGAATATCCCTCTGAGTTTCGCACATTTATCGTTGTAGCGTTCTCGATGAGTACTTTAGCGCAATCGGTGAGGCCCCTGGATACGGCTTCGTGAAGAGGAAAAATCCCCTTTATGGCAAGAGAGTTCAAGTCCGCTTCTCCAATCTTGATTAACTTGAATAGCTCAGGAAGCTGTTTTCCAGTCAGCCCTGTATTGAGAAGCAGAATCTCTGGGCAAGATGGTTTTCTGTTGCGAAGGCGACTGACATCTGCCACACGTTTGTTGAGAACATCCCCGGCAACACTTTGTCTCGACCCCTTAATCTTATTTTTGCGGTTCTTTTCCTTGCTTTTCTTCTGGATGTTTTTCTGTGGAAACATACCTTTCTCCTGCGCTTTTAACTTTGTTTTCCTTCTTTTAGCGCCTTAACTTTATAGTCGTCTGAACCACGAAAGGATGAGGCTGTTAGAACCACTAATTAAAGCTTTAAACAAAAGTCGTACAGTTCGGTTTCCTTTTTGTCTGGGAAGTATCTGGGTTTGAAGTGTTTCAACAACTGTTTATGCGAATTCGTCTTTTTAAACTCCACTCTGGCAGCGCTCTTGTAATTTTCGAAAGATTGCGATTCCCCACTGCCGTTAACACAGTAGCGGCTGATTGCTAAATGGAGTCGGGAATAACAAAGAACAACGCTAAAAGTCGGGTATATCCGATACCGTGAGATTATGAAAAAGAATGTGCAACTCTGTAATCTTTTCATCGCATCCGTTCTCGTAAACGATACCCTGTAATAACGGACGACGGACGACGACGGAAATGTCATTAAAAAACGTACACACAGAATGAATGATTTTCCAGTAATCGGATATCCAGGTTTTGCGCACAGGATTCTGGGATCGCCAGGGGGCAAACATTGCGAGTCGCTACAAAGAAATGTATGGCGTGGAGTTGTTTCTCCGTTAAAAGCAGTGTCTTTGGACATAGAATGCCGCATTTTGCCGTGATTTTATGAGAAACGGAGGTGACTAATGTTGGTGCGTTGAAATTTCAAGTTTCTATGTGATTAATGCGATAAATTCTATCGATAAACACTCCTTGAGTGAGGTTGAGTTTGAAATTTGTGTTACTGAATTTACACAGACATGAAGAATTCGAAGAAAAGGTCTCGAAAAATATAGTGCAAATTTAGGTATACATGTAGGGGGATTGGCTCATTTAAGCGTTTAAGTTATAATTACGTGTGGTGATATTTACGACAAGTGTAGCTACGCTCGGCCGCGATCAGCGCTGTGCGGCGCTTTGCGGGTTGTGACAAGTCAACGATCGTAGGTATGTACGTGGCCATAAAAGTAGAAAATCCTCCTCTACTTTGGTATAAACAAAGTGACATCTACAAAATATTTCATGGAAAGTACATGGTATTTAACCATTAGTAGATGAGGCAGAAATCGTACAAACCAGTAAGATTTCCGATACAAAAGCGGTGAGTGTGAAAATAAATACCAAGTTGATGTGCCAAATTCAGAGATTCTATATCTTCCCTCAAAATGATTGGAAAAGGCTTTAGAACTCATCGGTTCTCTGGATCATGACAAAACATTTCGCTTGTGCTGTTTTGGCGAGAAGAAATCAATATAATAATGAGCGGAAGATGTTTTTGTTTTTAAATTTAATACATATCAAATTCGACAATACTTAAGCTTACCTTCGATCGTTGTCACAAGCCGGCACAGCATTGTGATCGCGGCCGAGCGGAGCGTAATTACACTCGTTGTAAATATGAGCACATCTAAGTACAACTGGAAAGGCTTAAATGAGTCCGCATTCCCCGCTCATTTATACCTAAGTTAGTACTATATATTTCGAGACCATTCAGTAAATTCACAGTCGACCTTTCGCAAGAATCAGTGTTTATCGATAGATTTCATCGCATTGATCCCACAAAAACTTACAATTTCTTCGCACCAATATTAGTCACCTCCGCTTCTCATAAAATAACGGCAAAATGTTACATTCTCTGTCCAAAGACACTGCTTTTAAAGGAGAAACAGCTCCACGCCATACAATCCTTTGAAGCGACTTGCAATGTTTGCCCCTGGCGATCCCATAATCCTGTGCGCATAACTAAGTGTCCGATTACTGGAAAATCATTCATTAGTAAATGGTCGTGACTAGAATGGATACTCCAAAATCAGGTATCCGCTCGGAGACTGGAACTGAATAAAATTATTTTTCGGCAAATCGCTCCGACTCTTTACGACCTTGTTGTGTTGAAACACTAAGTATACGAAGACTGAAGAAGGCTAAGATGGGAATGGTTACTCCAAAATATGGATCAAAGCCTACATAGAGGTTAGTTGTTTTTCACGTTCTTTGTAAGAATTTAGTGCAAGGAGCAAACAATGTCTGTTTAATTACAGTACCACTACCGCGACTGCCGTGTAAAGCTTATTCATAGCAAAGTATCTGTTTGGATAGCTCAGAATAAGGTGGATACTTCAGAATAAGAATGGCCGAAATATGGAAGTTTTGGCCATCTGGATTATTATTACTGAACTTCCCAATATAAAAATGATTGTTACGTTTACAAAGAGGGTACAAATACAGTCAACCATTGTGTAATTATGGCTCAGTTAATTCGAAGCTTGCTTATAAGATAGCAGCCCGGTGTAGGGGGGAGAGGGGATGGGAGGGGTACTCGGCCAATATTTGGGTGTAGGTGAGCCGCTGAGGGTTTGAAACCCATACCCTGTTTAGGTTAACACCCTCAACTTTAGTACCCAGATAGGACAACTCCCTCAGGTGGGGACAAGGTTATCAAGCACACCTGTCAACTTGTACTTATCTTATTTAGACAAGGGTGCCAAGAACAATAACATTTATATTTATTCCAGTAAATGCTTTGGGTGATGAGGTACTAAATATCTGCAAACATTTGCACTAAGACGAAATCGATCATGCATGAAACACCCTGTTTATAATTAGAACAGACTCGCACAAATCTTGCACACTGTTTAGGACAGACTTGCAGGAAATTGTATACCCTGTTTAGGACAGACTTGTGCCAAACTATATACCCTGTTCAGGACAGAGAGGACGAAAACCATACCCTGTCCAGCGGCACATCCCCATGGAGGCCATATAAGGGAGTACACCCCCCAGGGATAGCAGACAGTTGTTGAATTTATGGCTCAACATAAACTATTTCTGTTTTCTTATATATTACGGTTGACTTTTTTTTCACTTTTACAGTGGTAAGTTGCTGTTCACTTAAAATAAAAATAAATCAACAAATAAAATATATTATTTAACGAACAAATACCTTGCACAGTAAGCATGTGAAACTTTCATAACGATCAACATGAACTACCCAAAAACCCTACATGTACGTCTTTTTCTTGATTTGTTTTTCAACAGCAACACACTGCGAAACATGTCTTTCATTGATCAAGTTTCTCATTAAGATATTTCAATTCACTGTTTACTCTTTTTTTAACTTCATCAAGCCTTGTAATAACAACTTCATCAAACGATTTAAATTATTCTCCTCGTATAAAATTACCAGTCTTTGAGTGAAACAGGGTGTTAAGGTGAGCTTTAATGCGTCTATCATATCTAATATGTTCTCTAGTAACTCACTGAGCTTCATAATGTTCGCCCTCAGTATTAACTAATCAGCTAGGACAAGAACATAATCGGTCGTGTAAAATTTTCCAGCAACACCAGGATTGTTTGTGCTCAATATTGCTTCAATGCATGAGGTGATCTTAGATACCTGTTCCTGAATGTCGTATTGGCGCCTCCCTTCATCACAAAGCAAAAGTTAATCTCTTTTAATAATCCCTGTCATATCTTCTAGCGTTGGGAGGGTCATAACTATTTTGGGCCATACAAGGGGGAGGGTTACTTTTTTTCTGCAGGAAATTGGGGGAGGGCATAAAAAAAATTCACCTGGGATAAAGAATTGCACCAGCCCTGCCCCCACCCTCTAATAAATGACAGGTCCCTAATTTACTTCAGGTCATACTTCTTGTAGCTTGGTGATCACTATTACCAGCTCAAGTTTCTAAAAAAAAAATGGTCCTGCAGATTGTATTAGTGTAGTGTCTCTGTATAGCTCTCATATAGGACCTGGAGCTTACAGTGGCAGATCGGAACCTTCAGATAAGAAGAGGGGTGGGGCAGGGGGGGGGGGAGGATTCTCACCAGACCTTAAGGTGGCGGGAAGGAACCACTCATTCACACCTTAAGGTACGGAGGAGCTCAATCTAGAAAAGAATTTTCTTGGCACTGTTGTCCTCAATTTGATCTAGAAATATGGAGGGCCGGGGACCTCCCTAGATCTACTACTGCCCTCTGCCAGCCCGCCCATGTTCACCTGCTATCTTTTTACATTTACCAGAAACTCTAGTATCAATTCAAATTATTTATCCTAAATATTAGGATTTTTGCAAAACTATTTATAGTTGCTTTTTTGCACTTGTATTTTGTTTTGTTTTTTTTTTTCAAATCCTAGGAGCCTCATTGTCACCAAAACTCTCTGCCTTCCATACCCTATTCCACACTGAACTTTCTGATAACAGTCCTCAGCCAAGTGGTACCATCATGGTGTTGAAAAGTGTGGAAATAGATCCTGTTGATCCTGGGATTAATTATTTTTCTTTTTCTTCCCCCTTCCTCCACTCAACGGGGGAGGCGGGGGGGAAGGTGTTTTCCTTCGCCTCCCTGTGACCTATTACCTAATTCCTTGATTGCCTTCTGAGCTCCTGATGAGACAAGACCTTCAGCATTAAGCTGGTTAGGGGCTATTTTTTGTTTTTCACTCAGTATGGTGAGCTTATCATAAATTTAAAATGGAATAAAAATGATCATGCAGGTATATCCATGTTGCAGCTGTAACAGGAGGAGGAGTTGGAGGTCCGGAGGGTGTTGCAGTCAAATGCTTGTGAGGAACAGAGAAACCAGTTGGAGAAAGAAATGAAGAAATGAAGAAAATTGGAGAAGGCTTCAAGAGAAATAGCAAAAAAAAAAGAAAAAAAGAAAAAAGAAAACAGGAAAAAAAAAATTTTTCATTGAGGCCAAGCAGTTGGCTGCTCAGTTGCATGTCTGGGTAGCTTGACCATTTGGTGAATAAAATTCTCAAAACCACAAGCAAACCACTCTAAGAATTTGATAAAATGTGTAAAAAAAATTGTTTATTACTTTTATAAAAATAAAGTTGTTTGTTTAGGGAAAGTTCATTTAATATGGCAAAGGGGGGGATGAAGATATTGAGGGGGGGGCTCCGAAAATTTTTAGACACCGAAGGGGCTCTGAAAAATTGTTGCGCTAGGAGGGGGCTCCGAAAATTTGTATACTTCAAAACCAACACATGACATCATCATAGAGATCGGATGGTTTTCAACTCAACAATTTAATGACCTGTGCAACTCAGCTATATCATGTGGTTTACAGATATAACAAATGTAGTCTCAGTAATAATTATTACACTCTTGTTCATCTTAAAAATGCTTTAGAAAATTGTATCACAACTGTATCTCAAGTTTGTCATAGTATAAACCATTGAAGACAATAACGGTAAATATATTTAATACAGTTTAGCGATCTTTTTTCAGGGGAGCAAAGGAATTGAAGGAGGAGGGGGGCTCTGAAATTTTTTCAACTACCAAGGAGGGGGCTCCTAAAAAATTGAACCGCTAGCGAGGGGGGCTGCTAAAATT